AGCTCTGCTGAGCCTGGGCAGGAGATGTCCCCCACTCTCAGATCCCACAGGGTCAGTTCCAGCAGTCTAACAGCATTTTCTACAGCTTGTTCCCAGACCTGTACCTGTGCTTACACTGCCAAAGATGTGCCCCTGCAGCGCAAAGAGGGGGAAGGATCTGGTGTTTGGCTATGGGAAACATCCATGTGGCAGCTCAGACCACTGGGTGAGAAGAGGTTCCTCTGGATGGAGGTCTTTGCTCCTTCTCCCTTGTTGCTCAAGTTCAGGCCAGGAAGGCTGAGACTCACCCTATGAAGCCAGGGATAGCTGCTTGAGCAGGAGGCAGAGCCCAGTTCCCCAGGCCCTTGGGCCCTGTATCCTTATCTCCACCAGAGTGAGACGTTGCTTTTGTAACCATGACGTTGCCTCTGTAACCAGTTTGCAGTGGGGTATGTGGGATAACACCTTGGGGTAGGACCACCATGCTTCATCTTCCACAGCAAATACACCGTGGATCTGCCAGAGCCAAAGGGATCTGAGCATCCCTCAGCCCAGATGCCTTTGGTTCTTTTCTTAGGGCCTTAACTCCTGCCTGGATGTTACTGCTCCATGCAGAAGTTTTGCAGCACAGAGGAAGTTGTAGGAACAGCCCTGCTCAGCCCAGCTTTGGAGCCTCAGGGGGGCTGGGCTGGAAGGACTGAAATGAGTGTCTGGTTCCTGCAGCTGAGCTATGCTGGGCTCTGCTGGTCTAAATAAAACACTAAAGTGCCTGGAACTGGAACCTGCTGGAGATTTGATGTCTGACAAAGCTGGGCTGTGTAACTTGAATATAAAATAAACCCTGAGCCAGAGTTGGAAGCTCTTAAATCAACTTCCACTTGTATTTTTCTGCTGAGATATGCCAGTAAATATTTTTAAAGACAGCTGACAATGTCTTTGGGAACATTTGCTATCACCTACTACAAAAGTCTTGCACATCTTGCACAGGGCAAGATACAGATAATGTTACCACTGCTCTCCATCACTGGTTGCCTCCCACGGCTGGCAGGACAGGAACCCAGCTGGACTGGAAGTGCCAAGGAAATGGTGGTAGGCTGGTTAGTGACCTTCAGACTTGAAAAACAAAACTGATTTTATTTCCAGTTTGAATTTATCTGGCTTCATCTACCCACCAGGTCTGAGCCAGGTTTTGTCAGTGAGAGTAAAGGTTTTTCTAGAGTCCTTTTCTCTTGGAGGTACTTGGAGATCTCAGGACATGTCATCTTCAACATCTTTACAGACATGATCCAACCAGATCACCTGAGCAATGGAAACTAGTATAATGCCCTAATTCTTCTTCCCCTTTCACCTTCTTTTGCACCACTTCCCTGCCTGGTTTAGTGGACAGGATGTCTCTAGTCAGGACGCTGGGAGCTACGTGGTTTTCCAGAGCACTGGAGGAAAACAGCCACCAGGGCCACCACTATGGTCAGGACAATGAAGGAGACAGCACCTGCCCACAGACTGGGCTGGTGCCCCTTCACGTGTTCCACGGCCTCCATGGGGATCATGTTGGTGAAGTTCAGCATGAAGCCCAGTGACCATCCGATGTCCATGCTGCCTGCCTGGGGTGAGAGCAGAGATCAGCCAAAAGTGCCTCTTCAGGCCCTGGCAGCTTCAGTGCAAGGACTGATGGGCACCTCTCCCAGGAGCTGCCCCCAGCTGTGACTCCACATGTGGACCTGGCTGTGGTGAACCTGGTCTCACCAGCACCAAAGTGCTTCCTTCCCCATCCCTTCCCAAGGGCTGAAAGAGTAGTAGAACATGGGTGACTGCTTTGCTCCTCATGTGCCTCTGTGACCTGCACATGATTTTGGATCTGACCTTTCACCCTCCCCCATGATCCTTCAAATTTTGTCATATTCTGGTTCAAATTAGTCCTGGGACAACCATCACCTCTCTGATGCTTAAGTCAATTCTGCACAACATCAGAGACAGAAGTGGCCAAATCCTTTTCTGTGCTTCTCTGAGCCCTGTAAAATCATCTTACACCAGAGCAAGTGAGAAACCAGCTGGTGTCAGAGGTGTGGGGACAGGTGAGAAAGAGTGAAGCTGGGCTAGGACCACTGGGATCATTAGATAGGGACACATTTCTAGAGCAGAGAACTCCAGGGATGCAGCTCCTGAACGTGTCTTCAGGTGAGGACAGGACCACAGCTCCCTGCCTGCTCCCACCCCTGGGGTCTCTACCTGCTGGCTGAAGTGGATACTGCTCCACGTCTGCTGGGTGAACTTGTAGCCATCAAGCAGCAGCGTCAGGATGTAAATTCCTGTGGAGCAGTAGTTGTGGAGGTGCCGCTTATCCTGCGGGAAGGTCTGCACCAGCTGTGGGGCCATCAGGGGACATGGTGGAACAGGGAAAGAAACATGCTCAGGAACCCTCCCTGGCCCAGGGAACAGCCTGGCAGCAATCTGGGACAGGACAAGCACAGGGGTCTCACCTCTGTCCAGTTCTTCTTGCAGAAGGTCTGGACCGTGGAGTTGACATCATTCAGAGACTGCTGGTTGGTCAGGTTCAGGAAGTGGAAGGTGTAGTAGAAGCCAGCGAAAGCCTGGGGGATAAGGCAAGGTGGTAAAAATTACATCTCCTTCCTTACCCCAAAAAACCCACAACACATCCAGGGGCTCCTCTTGACTGGGACCAGAGTCCTGTATAATTCCCAGGGTCCTGCATCCAGCACCCACTTGATGGTCTACCAGAAAGCTTTGGAGCTGCCTGACACACCCTTGGCTGCTGCTTGCACTGTGGGCTGGCTCAGACTTAGCTTCTTGGGACAAGATCTTCCCATTTTCCTCAAGGGGAGCTGGGACATCACAGGAGGCAGAAGCTGCTTCCCAGCACAGAAGAGATTTGCAGATGGGATCAGCTCTGGGCTCCCCTCCCTGCCCACCCCTTAGCATAACCAGTGGCAGGAGAGACTCCAACCCGTGTCCTGCCCCCCAGCCCGGGGCAGGGAGGCTCCTTACAAAGAACTGTCCCCGCACAGGCGGCTGATAGACCCCGTTGAACCCGCACGTCCTGCTGGCCTCGCAGCTGAAGTTGAAGAGTTCCCGGATGGCAATGGCACATGCTGCTGGGTCCCCTGTGCCTGTCACCGTGAGATTCTGCACAGGGCTGGGGCTGCTCGGTGCCTGGACACAGGGGCTGTTGTAGAGATCTGCCATGGTGATGTTCTCCTGGTATCCCTTGGGGTAGCAGGGGTGAGACACCTGCTGGGGAGACCGGCTGCCCTGGGGACAGCAGGAGCTGTTAGCAGGGCTTGGCCTGGGCTGCCAGCAAGACCCACAGCTTAGACAGGCCCAAAAA